TTGGCTTGAATGATGCAGATTCACTTGAGCCCGTCCGATCAGAATCTTCACAGTTCTTGGGGCTCTGCTATTGATAATGATGATGAGAAGGAGAACAAAAGATGGTTAAATAGGAGTGTTGTTATGCTTCTTAGTTATTCAAGGTTAAATAGGAAAATGAGGGAACATATATGTATCACAGTTAACCGTAAATGTGACAAATAAGCATATCATGTGATATTTCAATGTTATATGTAACAATTCAATCTTACATGTGACAGTTCTACCTTATATGTGATATTTAGATCTGATTTGTGATATTTGGGGTGTTGTATGTGATATTTGGGTATTGATTGTGATATTTGTTGTTTATACGTGACATTTGGGTGTTGTATGTGATATTTGGGTGTTGCTTATGACATTTGTTGTTTATACGTGACATTTGGGTGTTGTATATGATATTTGGGTGTTGTTTGTGACATTTGTTGTTTAAACGTGACATTTGGGAGTTGTATGTGATATTTGGGTGTTGTATGTGATATTTGGGTTGTAACGGCTTGATCCGAAGAAGTTAAAATTGAACGCAGGCTAGGGTCATAACAGCTTCGGATAAAATTGATGCAGACCAGGGTCGTAAAGGCTTCTCGGATCAATTTTAACAGCTTCGGATCAGGGTCCTGTTACGGCTTCGATCTCATCTTCAAGAACCACTCGGTGTCGGTGACCTCCTCATCAGGGTCGTCGGATCCGATGTTGGCGGGGCCGATGATGAGGGAGTTGAATTACAGGGGATTTTCTAGATTTGTAAATGTTAACGATAACAATGGGGCGACACATTGCATCTAGCGGCGAGACAAAGATGATTTTTGTTTGTTTTAAATTTGTTTGCTTTAAATTTGAGTTTTAAGTTCATTATTTGTACTGCACATTGCTAAGATTGGTTCTACGAAAGAAATGGGATGATGAGTTGAGATTGTAATTTAGTTATTCAAGGTTAAATGGGATGTTTGGTAACTTTCATTTGCAGTCTTTCTAATGTAAGCAACACCCAAATATCACATACAACACTCAAATATCACGTATAAACAGCAAATATCACAAGCAACACCCAAATATCACATAAAATATCCAAATGTCACGTATAAATAACAAATATCACAAGCAACACTTAAATATCACATACAACACCCAAATCACATACAACACCCAAATATCATGTATAAACAACAAATGTCACAAGCAACACCCAAATATCACATACAACACCCAAATGTTACGTATAAACAACAAATGTATAGCAAAGTGCAGTACAAACAATGAACTCAACCCATCATCCCATTTCCTTCGTGGAACCAATCTATAGCAATGTGCAGTACAAACAATGAACTCAAAGCTCAAATTTAAAACAAACAAAAATCATCTTTGCCTCGCCGCTAGATGCAATGTGTCACCCCATTGTTATCGTTAACATTTATAAATCTAGAAAATCCCATGTAATTCAACTCCCTTATCATCGGCCCCGCCAACGTTGGATCCGACGACCCCGATGAGGAGGTCACCGACACCGAGTGGTTCTTGAAGATGAGATCAAAGCCGTAACAGGACCCTGATCCGAAGCCATTAAAATTGATCCGAGAAGCCGTTACGACCCTGGTCTGCGTTCAATTTTATCCGAAGCCGTTATGACCCTAGCCTGCGTTCAATTTTAACTTCTTCGGATCAAGCCGTTACAATCCAAATATCACATACAACACCCAAATATCACATACAACACCCAAATATCACATATAAACAACAAATGTCACAAGCAACACCCAAATATCACATATAAACAACAAATATCACAAGCAACACCCAAATATCACATACAACACCCAAATATCACATACAACACCCAAATGTCATGTATAAACAACAAATATCACAAACAACACCCAAATATCACATACAACACCCAAATGTTACGTATAAACAACAAATGTCACAAGCAACACCCAAATATCATATACAACACCCAAATGTCACGTATAAATAACAAATGTCACAATCAACACCCAAATATCACATACAACACCCAAATATCACAAATCAGATCTAAATATCACATATAAGGTAGAACTGTCATATGTAAGATTGAATTGTCACATATAACATTGAAATATCAGATGATATGCTTATTTGTCACATTTACGGTTAACTGTGATACATATATGTTCCCTCATTTTCCCATTTAACATGAATAACTAAGAAACATAACAACACTCACATTTAACCATATTTTGTTCTCCTTCTCATCATCATTATCAATAGCAGAGCCCCAAGAACTGGGAAGATTCTGATCGGACGGGCTCGAGTGAATCTGCATCATTCAAGCCCACACATCTGTCTCATTGCCTTCTCTACCTCCTCCTCGTACCTAAACATCATATAAGAATCATGTGTATGAAAAGGATATAAACAATCATACCTCTTAAATTTAACAATTCATCAAAAAGGCCTCTTTATCTTCTGCTCTAATTTTGAAACTACAAACATGTGAAACGCGAAAATTATGTTTCTTTCCAATTTAAACATCCAATGGCATCGTTATTGTTGGCTGAACTCTACAGTGATCCTAAAAGCAACAATTTTTCTTTTTATCATAATCATGTAATCTGTAACAACTTTGTGATATAGAAAGGATGAAATCAATATTGCCCCTTCTAATCAACAAATTCGTCAAAATGCCCTGTCACTGCAACAAAATTAAATGGATACAATCAGCAACCCATTCAATTGCATCATAACTGAATATTTCTACAAAAAGAAACAATTTTGAACCATCTCGAAACCAAATCTCCCTTTGTTTCCCCAACATAAAACATCCAATTGCATCCTAATTACACATCTATTCAGAAAGAAACAATTTTTACCCATCTCGATTCCATAAACGACGATCACGCAACAATTCAATGCTTTAATTAATTCTTTAAAAAAACCGAACAAATAAATCATTACCTCCCTATCTCCCGCTCTCTTCAATCGCCATCGCTCTGACCGCATCCAAAATGACCTAAGCCGAGAGCATCGTCTCTTCGGCCCTCGACGAGATCCCCGAAAGCGTCCAGCCCACCTTAACCGCCCTCGTAGCCTCGGCGTCC